TGTGTGTTAAACAGTAATTACTTGTAAAATAATGGTGCCCGTGCAAGGCTGGGTTACAGAAATGTGTCATGGATGTACTGGCAGGGGAAGAGTCCAAGCCAGTCCTCTCACGACTCCTACTGAACAACTCCCTTTTTAAGGTTCACCAATTAACTTAATAATTAACTTGAACACAAAAATGGAAACAGCAGAAACTGTCGAAAGGAACTGGGCAACAGAGGCAGTATGACTTGGGTTGAATCCTATCTCGTCTGCTAGCTGAGTGATCATGGGGTTTTTATATCTCCAATTAATTTTTACCTCCCCAGACAGAACTAACTCATCATGCCTGAGAGGCTGCAGTGGTGATTAAACAAGCTGGCCTACATAACCTGCCTGCCACACAGAAGGCAAGGAAGGTGACTATATTAAAAGCATACCCATCAATCAACAAACTCAGCAAATGGGTTTATGTTTAGCAATCAGAAGAGCACCAGACTGCCAGGGCCTCAATTTTTTCATGATTAAAAATGTTCTCAAATTATTTCTTAAAGACAACTTTGTTATTTTTAATATTGCACATTCAGCAATCAAACCCTAGGCCTTGCTCATCCTGCTAGGGCACACATTCTTCCACCTCTGAGCCCCGATACAGGCCCCCTTTACATTCTTAGGCAACTCTAACTTTTAACTAAAGATACAGAAAGGCTGGGGCTAAGGGGGACAAGCAAGTCTAAAGGATATACACGACACATGTGATACAAACAAAGCACTCTACGGTGAAAAGTGAATAGACATAGGGCTCAGGAGCACTCTCTGTGGACCAAGACTTTCCCATGCTGTGCTTTCCCACTTTCTTCCATACATACACATCACCTACCCCTCCGCCCAAGCAGACACAGAATGCAAAGGCAGTACTAACTCAGCACTGCGGGATGCCCCCTGCTTTTCCTCAGGATAATCTATTTCCCCTGACTACTTGTCCCTCACCATTTCTTCCTTTGGAACTGGCCATCAGGGTCAAGGGCAGAGCAGCAGAAATCAGCCTAGACAAACTAGCTGCAAACATCCCTTTCTCTGCACATTTTGAACTCTTCGGGGCCACAGTTCAGTGACCAAAACACGCAACACATCATGCTTGAAGAGCTACAGAAGTGAGTCCTAGTCCCAGCTAACAAAATGGAGTCATTATAGTGTATTGGAAATCATATAGTAAGGAATGCTGGTTAACCAGTCACCCTTGCCAAGATCAGATATGAAGAGAAAACAAAAGCTGGCAACCACTCTAGCTCTGATATTTCTCTTCCAGAGTCCTATTTAATAAGGTTAATCTTTTAAAAATACAGTAATTTCCTTAGCTGGTTTAAAACAAAACCTGGAGAGAATTCCTGAGTACAAAATCCTAGGAAATCATGCAAGGCTGCTCTATGATTTTAGGGCATCATCCACTTTAAGTTTGAAAGGATTTATTTTTAGGTTTATTATTAATGTTCTTATAACTCCCTTTTAGCAAAGGGTCAGTAATATTTTTAGCCTAACATCTTCTAAAAGGAAGTGAAACTGAGGCCGATGAGGAAGCAAAGGCGGCTTATGAAATATCTTTAGTTTTCAGCAACACTAACATTAACAAGCACAGCATATCTTGCTCTTTCACGGGGCAGCAAATTGATAGTTTGGTTGAAGCAACAAAAATAGGATGGAGTAATTATATCTGCCAAACTCACAACAGCCTGTTCAATGGAGAGTAACACTGTAATTTTTCTTCAAAGGCAGTAAATAGGAAGGAGAAGCCCCTCATTCTGAAGTATAAGGAAAAATCCCTGGCCCTTGGGCGCCACTTACAGGCACAAACTTTCACTGACTTCAGTTATTTCTCTGAAGGAGAGAGGGCAGTCACACAATCTTTGATTCTAATGAATTTCCCATAAGTTATCTTTTACAAATGTGTATTTTCTACACTTTGAATTTTTAGACTCAAATTTGAAAACTGGATTAAAAAAATAAAAAGGATGCAATAGGTCTTTAGACACATAGAAAGGGTCTTCAGCCCTTTACTACCACTGAAAATAAACCCACAAAATACTAGTATTAAATTTTCCTCTTTAAAGTATGAATATGAACTACTTGAAAAGGGGGAAACAGTGTTCAACTGGGATTTTATCTCACTGCTTTATAATCATTTCCCCAAGACTTTAAATGATGAAACAATAAAGCATTGTAACAGGAAGCACAAAATACATGGCAATAATTTCATATACCTCTTCTTTGTGATATAAGTTTTATGCCAGCAGATTTGAAATGAATTTCAACATAGTTCTACAAAAACGGGAGGGTGTCACTATTATTTCAAAAGGATAGAGAATCAATATTTTACTGCAAATGAAGTTTTCCCATATGACATTTGAGATGCAAACAGCTTTCTAGCTGCTTTTCTTTTTAAAGACTGACTGAACAATTATAAGCCACTATATGAGAGAGAGGGAGAGAGAGAGAGAGAGGAGAAATAAAAGAGAAGAAAAAGGAAATGCAAAAATTAATCCTAGGTTGCCCAGTCATTCAATTCTATCTGTCTTCACCTTGGCCCTCTGATTTTGTGTCTAGAGGCAACACTAAAGTTCTATATGTCATTTTTGTAGTTGTTCTCATACTATACTCACAGGCCATTATATCGACTATAATAATGCTTAAGTGTGGCAAACTGCATTATCATCTAGAAAAAAAAAACAGGTTTCACAGGACTAGATAAAATTAATTCCTCAAAGTTGGAGTTAATTCTTCCTTTTTTCTTCTTTCATCTGCAGATGACCTACAGTAATTGTTGCCACTTAAGAGTTATTCTGGTTAGGCTTTCTAATCCTCACAGAAACAGGAAATCCTAGAGGAAGGTATCTGCTGTAAAATACGTGTACAAATACACACACACACACACACAGAGCTGCAGCAGGGTTACTACCCACACTGCCAGGGTACAGACCTGGCTCAGCGTACTTGTTACTACTGGGGGTGGGGGAGGGAAAACCACCTCCGAGCAATAAATGAACCGTGATTTAAAACAATCTAGTGCACAAAAAAAGGTCAAATTACTTTAGATAACTAACCGAAACCAAGGATTCCCACTGTCAGATTCGACACACAATAAAACACTCTCCACCCATGGTAAATGTCAAGAAATTCTACCGGGCCACCAGGCGACTATCACGAAAACATATTCAGCAACTTCACGCATCCGTCAAGATTTTGTGGTCAGAATCAGAATTTTTGAAGTATCATATACTTCAAAGAATTTCCTTTAACAGAAAAATTTCCAGTAGCCAAAAAGAGGGCGAGGCCAAAGAGCCGTTGGTGTAAACTATCTTACGCACATCCTACTTCTGGTGCACCGGAAGACCCCTGCCAGCGAAGCCCGCAGCTCTGCACCGTCCCTGTCCCCGCCACGCAGCGGGGCTGCGGGGCGCAGTCCCCACTGCTTTGAAACTGAATGGCTGACACATCCGGTCCTGGATCCCATAGCATTCCGCCAAATGTGAACTTCAAAGGCGGATTCAAACTCCAAGCACCAGGCGCTCTAGCCTCAGAGGTGCAGTAGGAATTCCCAAGGACACGCAGCGAGGG